CCCCCCCCCACCCTGTACACTTTGGCTCGCCGATCTTATGCGTGCTTGTCACTTTACGTGCTCAGGGAGTGATGACTGTATTTGTCGCGCAAAAAAAGAGCAAAGCCCGAGGGAAAGAAAGAAGTGATCCAACACTCACCCTGTCCCCGACCTTTGGCTGATGTATAAGCTGCTGCTGGTGGACCTCCTTGAGATCCCTCCTCTGCCGGCCGCATCTGCTCGTCCGAGTGGTGGTGCCCGGCCCGGCATCGTGTCCCTGCAGCTGATCATCCCAACCCTGGTCCCGACGCGAGTACCCCTGTCCCCCGGCTCTCAGCGCCTGCTGCTGGTGGTCGCGCGCTCTGATGTAGCACTCGGGGGCGTAGGTTGCGCAAGGCGAGGTGCCGTCTGTCGAGTAGCCCGTGCTGTAGGCGCTCTCGGGCGAGGACAGGTTCACCGCGCTGCCCGCGACCACGACCTTGCCGTTCTCGTGCCTCGGCTGTTGCGCCACCGGTGCTGCTGGTGGTGGTGCTCGCGGCAGTTGCCGACCGCCGAGGGTAGGCTGCTCGCGGCACTCCCGCCGACTGACGTCCGGCTTGAAGCTCGAGATGGCCAACGACGGCAGTATCTGTGATGCCCACACACACACACACACCCAGTGTCTTTTATATCTTTGTGTCCTTCGTTCGAACATAGGTACAATGTATTTATGTGCATCCGCCAGGGGTAACAAGGGAAAAACTTTTTTTTTCTTTTCTCTTTGCGTGATGCGCCCCCGGTTCATGGGCAATTGTTAAGTGCTCTCTTTCGCGTGTCCTACTTATGTACTTGCGCCCCTAAAACTTTCTTCTTCGTTTCGGTAATTTTTTAATTGGGTTGCCTAGGGGGTGTCTACTTGAGATTTTACGAGTTTTCGACACCCCACATCAGTCTTTCTTTCCCCGTGAAATTGAATCGCATCACCCAAGGGGTTTTTGGGGTGTAGAAAAAAAAAAAAAAAAAAAAAACGTGCTCGAGGCTGCGGAAATTTACATATCTTTCATCGTGGTTTCAACAGTTTCGAATATATTACATACGGATCCCATTCACGGGACGCATTGTCACGTGGCGCAAAAAAAAAAATTAGCCTTCCGTCGGGGATTTTTAGTTTTCCGTCAGCCGCAGGTACATCCCCGCTCTCTGTTTTATACATTCATGGGTTCAGCGATTTCCATGCATACAGAGCTGTGCGCGCAGCCCGGGGTTTTCTTTTTTTTTTTTCCTGTCCGAAGAATCCAGAGCTCGCGAGTATTTTTTCGAGAGGAAAAGCGGAACAGACGCGCTCCATTCCGATTCGACGTATTTCCATTCGTATACGTATTTTTTGCGTATACAGGGAATGAATTGGGAAAAAAAAAAACTTTGTTACCCGAGAAAAGTGCGAAAATGACGTATCTTCGATTATTGCAGAGACCATTAATTTGTGTTTGTTTTAAAATAATGATGTTATAACGGATAATGGAGAGCCAGTTCAGATGTATATGTAATACGGACGATGGAGGGTGGGGGATGATGGAAAAGCTCGAGGATCGGCAAGTCGTTTGGAGGCCTCTGGGATCCCCATCTCCATAAATGATGGGCGCGGGGTGTGGGAGCTCTCCACGCGTGGGTATTATCTATATATACACGTAGGTCCTCCATACATCAGGCAAGCCACTCCGTACTTGGCGTGATCAAGAGTCGGTAAACGTACAAATAGGCCCGAGGAGGGAGCATAAAATCCGAACCCTCTGCGCAAACACCTCCCTCGAGAGGGAACGCGACGAGGACGTGATGCCCTTTCACGAGATTCGACTGAAATCTTTCGAGTTGGATGAAAGCAGAAAGAGAGAGATATATATATATATATATATATATATTGTCGCTGTCAAGAGGAAGAAAGAAGGTTACGTCGTCCTCATGGATTTACAGTGGCTGCGCGCGAGCGATTCATTTCTTTTTTTTTTTTTTTTTTTTATTGGCCCCCTCTCTCCCTCTCTCTGATCAATCGTGGTGTAAACTGTCGCGCGAGAGGGGGCTGCTTTACGTTTATAGCGCTAGGGCGTAAAGAGAGGGTTTACGAGCTACGTGTATGGCCGTTTAACACTGCTGGGAGTGATGTATATATACCTTTAAGTAGGAAAAAATAAAAAGAGTGGGTGTCTCATAAGTAGGTCAGGTATGGCTCGAGGGACGAGCTCGAACGGAACAGTCAAAGCTCATTTTCTAGGTTTTCGGCTCCCGCGATTTTTCCCGTGATGCCTGCCTGTTGATGTGAATATGTGATTTTTTTTATTTTTCTAGAAGAGCCTAGCTCGCTTCCTTTTCCGTATCCAAGTACTAAAAAAAAAAAAAAAAAAAAAAAAAAAAAAAAAAAAAAAAAAAAAAAAAAAAAA